CCACCACCACCACCACCACAGCCACGACGACAACGACAGCAACAGCAAAAGCAATAGCAACGGCAGCAACACCAACAGCAATAGGAGTATTGCTATTCAGCAAAACGACGAAATGACAAATAGTGACCGCAGTGATACGGGTAACGCCAGTGACAATACCCTTATCAACCACTAAAGACATGACAGTAGTAACTCCTAGTAGTAGTCGTCGTCGGAGCCGTGTCGTAGTTTGTAGTAGCAGCTTCTGCTGCTGCTGCTGCTGGTGGTGGTGGTGGTGGTGGTGGTGGTGGTAGTTTAAAAGCCCTTTCGATAATGTCATCCTCATAAGTACTCATAAGTTTAAATCGCTTCGATGGCAGGAGCTTGACGGGCCTTGGGTTTCAGCGTTTCGTCGCTCCGTAGGGATTCGGCATTTGCGGTGCCCGTAGATGGGAGACGGTGGCGCGTATCCATGGCTTGGCTTTGCATGTTGATAACAAGGGTGTGTGGATTGGATAGAATCTTACTTCTGTCGGCATGACTGTCTGGTCGGGCTGCGCCAGCTTTAGAATCTATTGACCTACTTGGGGTATCTTTACTCAGTTGGCTGGTGCTATTGCGGGGACCGTTGTGGTCACGCTGTTGAATATTCTGGCTCGTATGCATAAGGACCTAGTGCTTCTCATTCTATACACTTTGCCACAACAACGACGGCAACCACTACGACGGCTGCAGCAATGCACGACTTCCATCTCCAGCATCATTCTTGCTACTCTTCTCTTTCGTCTTGATCAGTTTCAACAGATGAAACCTAATGATAATCTCGCGTCGCATGTCCTGTTCCACTAGGACGGTGAATCGGAGCGTGACGTGCGAGGCAGGGCCGAAATGCATTAGACCTTCCACTTGGGGTCCCGCCCAGCGGCTGACATAACCCCGATCATGTGGAGTGGCAAGAGCGGGAGAATACTTGTGGTTCGCTGGCCCGAGGAACGACAGCCTGAAGCACCAGACAGAAGCAACTTGTGTAGCTGTAGCTTCAAATCCTAGGGGGCTGGTTTGAAGCAGATCTTCGGCACATGTCCGGCAAGTCCATTTAAACATGGTCTTCCCGACTGCACTGATCCCCAGCCGAACTGCCAGCTTGTGAACCTCTGAACCTCCATCCTCCAAGGTCACTTCAAATCCTAACGGATGGCTAAGCCCCCGTGCCTCCTGATATTTCAAGCCGCTTTGTCGTGCCCGTGCCTAGCCGAGCCAGACCCTCGAGCATGACAAGCCCCGAATCGTTAACTCTAAGGCACACCCTCTACCCTACACTCCTACGCAGTAAACCCGAAGCCGTAAACCCCAACTCTGTGCTGTCCTGATGTGTTCTCTCCGAAGAAGTTGAGCCGCGAACTGAACCTAAAGAGTCGACGGTTTGTGCAGCACTATCAGGGTTTGGGGTCTCGACTTGCCAGTCATCAAGGCGGGGTAAGAAAAAGGTTTAAATTCGAAGCCCACTAAACCCTTAAACCCTTAAGACCCAAACCCCAGACTCTGAACCCGAAACCCTGAACACCCGGAAGGATTCCTCCGGCCACATCGTGGAGGACGGCCTCTGTGCTGGGAAGAAGCCAGCAACCAGCAAGGTCCGGGCACTTGGTGTTTAGGGTTTGGGGTTAGGGACTTGGTGTCGGATCCTGCGGTCTAGTTTGGGAGATGAGGTGTGGGTCCTGGGTTTTGTTTGGTGCTTAAGGGTTTTGAGCGCAGGGTCCGATGACGCCGGTGGCCCAGCCATGCCCCCGACTTTTTTACAAAGCTATCCCCAGTATGAATGAATTCTCAAACGAGCTGCAGCTCCAACTCGAGGTCGCTTGTGCTGCCACGCCGGTCTGCCCGGAGTGGATCTACAGCCCGTGGTGCCTTGGTGAAAGCCTTTCAACTCCCTCCATCCGTCACTCCTCCTCCTGGGTAGGGCCGCACGGCTTTGCCGAAGCTGGGAGTCTGCTGAGCCAGTGCTTGTGCCCAAGGGACAACAAGACATGGGACTGCTCCGAGCGTGATTGTGGTCAAGGCGGCGTGGCTGATCTAGGAAGTGATGTTGATCACAACACGTGGCACATCGTCTATCTCCAGTCATGAGCCTGGGGCGATCAAGAGTACCCTGCTCGGAAGTCAATTCAGCTTCCAACTCTGATTATAAGATTAACTACCTAGGGTCTCCCTCTTTCTCTATCTTCCTGTATTCTGGGGTTTCCAAACAAGTTTGACCCGATGTACGAAGTCCCTCCAGTCTCAACTTCTTCAGCAGAGGCTTACGTTCGAGTCATGCCGACGAGGACCCCGAACAACGGACCTCTATTTACTCTGTTCTGAATGAGCACTCTAACGACCTAATCTTCGGAGAGCACAGCTTGACAATGCTTGACATTAAGTGGAATATGTACGACAAGCATTCATGAAGCCCCACAGCCGATCACAAAGCCAAAACCCCCCCGCGTGGCCTGAGGCCAGTTGACCCAAGAGCGGCCCGTGAACTGCACCAACCCCAAGACGTTGGAAGTTGTCGCAGACGATCTCTGCAAAGGCAGGGGTTGGGAGGAAGCGCAGCGGTTTTTTTGAGATCAGGCTGCTGAGGTTGGACTTCCGCGGGCCGTGCGGACATTCCTAGTGACTTTGTGCGAGGGCAACGTGCCATGCTGCGAGGTGTTAGCCGATGGTCTTAGCTTTCAGCCCTGAGATCAGCCTGACTCACTGACACCCACATGCAGATAGCTGGCCGGCCCAGTCTCTGCCGAAAAGCCCTTGCGAAGCAGGCCCGAAGCCGGAGACGATTCGCATTCTGTGCCCGGCGACCCCGCTCTGTGCTGCTGAGATCGCAGAAGTGTTGACGCTTTGCAGCCAGGCGTCACGAAGTTCACAGTTGGACTCGGCGTTTCGGGGGTGGAATTCGTCGAGTCCGCCATCTGGCATGCCAGACCTACCTGCAAGTTCCGGTGGAGAACATGTGCTTCCTAGTTTCTGCTCCGCTGCCTCAGGTCACGACAAGCACAACGAGCACGAGCACAAGCACCACAACTTCCACAACTGTCACTTCAACGACCACCAGCACAGTCACAACCACGACCAGCACCAGCACCACCACCTTGGTCACCTGCGATGTCGTCAGGTGCCCGAAAGGCAGGAGTTGCTAAGCTTTGCTGTCTAGATAGAAGGGCCGCCACCCTAGGCCCTGGGGCAGGTCAAGGGCTTTTGAAAGTCCGTTGCAGGAAGTGTGCCCAAGCCGCTGGTCAACCGAACCGCTGAGTGTGACGGAGGAGTTTGCAAGGCAAGCAACTTGTATTCGATCCTGAGGCAGCACTTGTCTAGGTGCCGCAGCGTAGTTGGAGCTGAGTGTGTGGGGGAATCTCGGGGGAATACCGTTAGCAGGCCCAAGATTGCTGTGACTTGGCGTCGTGGGTGTACAAGAGCTGGGACGAGACAAAGGACTGCTTAAAAGTCAATACAGAATCCGTAGAAGCAAGTGGTGGCAAGTGCAGGAGTGTGGCCACAGCTGTGGCCTGAAATCAATCCTGGAGTCCCGGTCGGTGACCTGCCAGGTGGGACAAGTGCGGGAAGGTATTTCGGGAAAGGTTTGAAACTCTGATGTCGAGAAGTTGTGGTACGATCACGGATTTACATTGCAGGTCAAAGCCACCGGACAGGAAGTGCTTCCTGACCGCAGTTTGTTGTTCTTGGCTTGGGGATCAGGGGCTACGAAAGAAGATAGAGATAGTTGGTTTGGGGATCAGGGTCTTTCGATAGTCGAAGTCTGGTAGTATGGCAGGCTCGTGTGTCGGCGCTGCTTTTAGACGTGGGCATCTCAATCTGATTTACTCCTTGAGTCCAAACCCGGCCGAGGAGTCGGGCCACCTGCCGGTATGGAGATCCTGAGCCTGCATCCAAACGCGTGCTCTGTGAAGCCACGGCAGACTGCGACGGTTGCGGCAGTTTCTTGGCCTGTGGGGGGTGATGTGTCGGCGCACGGTGTGTTTAGTGTTTGCTTCTTGCTACCGGGATCGGCCACGGGCTGAAGCTGCCTGCACTTTTTGCGCTGTGGGAGCCCTTAGGCATCTGGTGTGGCGCAGATTCGGTGCCCTTGGCTGACCCTCCAAATTGTGGGAGCTCTTGCACACGAAGCTTGGAAGTGCCAGCCGGGGTCTTCTTGACTTATTCAGGTTATGCTTGCTGCTTGAGGCTACGTAGTTTTAGGGACGTGACTTTGAGTGGTGCCTTGATTGGGTAGGGAGAGACCTCAGGGCGAATTCTGCATGCATGGACGGCACGCGCAAAGAGTTTTTAGGCCCTGGGCCGGTCCAGTTTCAAGCCAATCAGCTGCTGCCGGAGATCCAGAGTAGTTGTGGAAGATCTTTCCGATTCCTCGTTGGTCTTCGACATGCTAAGGAGAACTTTGCTGCAAGAAGTGGCTTGCATGATCTGGAGAGTTTACTCGCATCAGGGGTCGATGCGAATGAGAAGCGGGAGCATCGAGTGGACAGGCAGCATGCAACTGAGTGAAATGACAAATGGATATCAAAGGCACGAAACCAAATAAAGTATAAGGACAAGCAGCAGCAATGGCCATGTGAGTGTGTCGATAGCTCAGAGCGGAGCCAAGGTTCGCTGCAGGCTTTCAGGCTACCGATGTGCAAGAGAATGCGTCGGCTGTGCAGAACTCCGTGCAGGCCAGGTGGGTCATGCTTCTATTGTGAACAATGCTTCTGTTTCACCACTACGTGTTGCTCCTGGTGCTGCCATTTCTTGTAATGTGCTTGTCATTATCCCGACTTATGACTACGCTAGTGCCCATGCAGTCGCAGCAGTGCTATTTCTAACCAGTTCTACTAATTCTACTGCTATTTCTTCTTACTGCTACTACTACCATAACAACAACAAGAACAACAACAACAACAACAATAATAACAACAACAACATCAACAACACCATCAACAACATCATCATCAACAACAACAACTACTACTACTTACTACTTACTACCTACTACTTACTACGTACTGCGTACTACTTACTACTTACTACTTACTACTTACTACTTACTGCTTACTACTTACTACTTACTACTTACTACCTACTACCTACTACCTACTACCTACTACCTACTACCTACTACCTACTACCTCCTCCTACTACTACTACTACTACTACTACTACTTCTTCTACTACTACTACTACGACGACGACGACGACGACTACTACTACAATGCCACCGACCACCAGTATGATCGCTGAACTGTTGTAGCGGCTACTACGCCACTGCCATGTCGACCGCAACTGTCCTTCTTCTGCTGCGCCTGCCCAGTCCTCCTATGAATTTCTTTGGCAACAACCAATACTGCACCAGCCAGTACTTCTACTGATACTAGACTGCTGCTGCTACTGCCACTCTTCCTGGTCATTCGCTTCTGCGGCTGCGATGCCGACAACTTCTGCGACCTGCTGTAGCAAGCATGAGTGTCTTGAGCGTCAAGTTTTCGTTTGCTGCAGTGACTCTTCGTCTGTTGCTGTTGCTAGTTCAACCTACCGCAATGTTGGTTTTCTACTGCTCTTGCTTAGAACGCGACTATTGCTATCATTGGACTAGTCTCGTTTATGTCGGTTTACGCATTTTGAAAGTTGTCGCCTGTGCGACTGTGAGAGCTTGTTCCTGTGACTCTAGTTGCTGCCTTTTCGGAGTCAGTGGTAGGCTTCTGATTATCGTGACCACTATGGCGGGTCATTCTTCAATGTGTCGCGGTTGTAATGATACTGGTCGTGATTATGCCGAATACTGCAGTACTCGTTGCCAGCACGAGTTGGCAAGAGTTTTCGCAGCAAGCTAGTGACGTCATGCTCCCGTCAACTGCAAGCCCCGCTAAAGCAGGTGGAGACTTCAGGTCTGAACTTATCAAACTGCCAGTGCAATGCAGGCTATGGTTGGTATTGAGCCAACATGTGCAGGTATGTGTATGTATGTGGTGCGGGCCTAGGGTTCAACGGGTGTGGGTCTAGGGTGCAATGGGTGCCCGTGCAGCGTGCAGGGTGCGACGGGTGCAGGGCCAGGTGCAGGATGCAACGGGTTCGCGTGGTGCAACAGATGCCGGTGTAGGGTGCAACGGCAGATGTAGTGTGCAACGTGTAGGTCGTGAATATCGGCAGGCGAACGAAAGCCTGATGACGTGAAACCAATGCGTTGGCGATGGAGGCCCTTAAAAACTCTGCATCCCTACATCTAGAGCCAGGCTTGGCTTGTCCTGCCCCTATGCACCATAGACCGAACTCTACATCTGCATCCAATGCAGCCTGCACCCACATACCATGCAGTCGCCCTCCAGGTGCAAAAGCACCCGTTGCATGCTATGCCTGTGCCGGTGCACCCGGCACACGCACCAGTTGCACCCCACATCCACCCGTCTTTGTAACCTGCAACCACCTGTTGCACCCTGCATCGGCACCCGTCGCACCCTGCACCCGCACCCGTTGCCACCTGCGCCCGCACGTTGCACCCTACACCCGCATCCATGCACCACAAAGTCTCCGCTAGAGCATTGCTTTCAAAGTTTCAAAAAAAATGGTGAACCACAGATGGAGCTCATAAAAATGAGCCAGGAGCAAGAATTCCACTAGCGTCAGAAATCTACCCCAATTCAGCTTCGCCCACTGACGCGCAGGTGGCAAACCAAGGATCCTCAGGTGGATCGGTGAAGTTCGACGGAGAGGCAGCGACCCCGGCCGAGGGCGGTATCTCGGCATATTATAGCATATATTATATTATTTTGTGTATTATATATTATGTTATATTGTATTATATTATATTATATATTAGATAACAAACTTCGCTGAGATGGATGAATTTCTGGGTCGGGAGCGGTACCTTTTCCGTTTGTGGCACGCCAGGCAAAGCGTATTACCTGGGTGGCAAAACCGGCCTGCCGCTTGGTGGAACCAAGTCCACAGAATTTACGGCATCTTGTCTGCAAGACGGAGCCTCATGTGGAGATTCGTCCATCAAATCTAGCCAGACACCTCACCGCCTTTCAGATGCCTTCGCACTGCTTGTAAGGCTGTGATGTACGTCAAACTCCTCGGGAGCGACAACTCAGAAGAAGAAACCGTGATGCTAAAGGAAGGCCAGGGTCCATGTGAGCTTACACGTCGAGCATGGGGAATTGCATTGCTGCCCAACTTGCTGGTTGCCCGAGCTTCAGCTTTAGGCCTTCAGGCCTAAGGCACTTCTGCTGAAGATTGCTGGAGCCCTCCGGACATGGGTGTGACCTGTATGGGGAGGTGGGCCAGACGACTTCGGCGCATGGGAGCTCACGGCCACGCCGCTGAAGCAGCTCCGGGTCCGATCCTTTAAGGACAGTTTCGGCCAGTGGTGTTCCGGAGAAAACTTAGTCCTATGTGACGCACCTCAACTATCGACCCCACTTCCGTGACTTTCTGCTGCAGGATTCCAAATCTCAAGCTGCTATCGGATGCCTGTGCCTGTCTTCCTATGCGGATGAATGGGCAGCAGTCGCAGCAGCCTGGCAGTGTCTGGAGGGCTCACCGCGAACTCAACGACCACGCTAGTCTGAATGCTTGAAGAGCCAGGTGCGCTATGATGGCAAAGGCGAGAAGATCGAGCTGGTGGTGAATGGCAAAGTCTGCTGCGAGGCTACCGCCGTTTCAGAATCTAGGCACCATCTATGTTGACGATGTGATCCCGGTCAATTGGGTGAAGCTCACTTGCTCTTGTCTGAAAACTTGCCGTGCAAAGTTCTTAGGCGACTTGTCGGCCAGAGTTGTGAAGTTATGAAGATGGGCTTAGGGCTTAAGCTGCTTCCCAGCTGATTGGCAGAGTCTGGGTACAAGCCACTCAGGATCCCTCATGGTCGGATGCGGCTCTACGCAACAGTGCCTTGGCTGGTGGTGTCTTCGTCTTGCTGGAGAAACAACCCGTGGCTCTTGCTAGTTTTGTGCCCAGAGCTCTGTCCTCGGGCACCAGCACCACTTGCATCGTTATAGTTATAGTTCTCGATCACGACATCGTCTCATCCTTACGTTCATCATCCGCATCATCAGCATCATCGTCCTCATCGCCACCACCATCATCATCATCATTTTTCGTCATCACCGCATCAGCACCCTTCATCTTCATAGTTACCATGATGACTATCGTCCGCACCCAGAAGAGGGAGCCCCCGCGCTCGCTGACTCACTCACTCACATGACGATCCGAGATTCCTGAACGTGAAAAGGCCCAAAACCCAAAACGGTCTTCGTGAACACACAATGAAACGTGCAAACTGAAACCGCTGGGAGCGTCGCGGAGACTCCGACTCGCAATCCTAAGCGACGAGCATCACGCAATTGCACGCAGTGATCTTCGGAATCGTCGCCACGCACTGGCAAAATCGTCGCCATCACCATGTCGACTGATTGATTATTATCTCTCTTCTAATGTTAACTGCCTGAGATTAATTCGGCGTGCTCTTCTTGTTTGCGCTCTGGGTCTGGAATCGCCTGTGTCATCTTGGAAACAGTCGTCGTCGCGACTGCGTGGCAAGTGTGAGGACAGAGAATGGCAATGTGGCTGCTGCTGTTTCTGCTGCTTCCAGCTAGTGCTGCTGCCGCTACCACTACGCCTACCACCACAAGCACCAGTACCGTACCAGTACCAGCATTAGGACTCCTCCTGCTGCTGCCTCGGCTGCTGCTGCTGCTGCTGTGGCTGCTGCAACAACAACAACAACAACTACTACTACTACTACTACTACAAGCACAGAAATCTCCGAGGCAGTGCTCCCGTGCATTTGGGACTCGTTCCCGGTCACCGGCGGCCTGGCGTGGTCGGAGAGGTCTCCGCAGCATCTCGGCCTCTCCGAGAATCCCACATAATTTGGAAGACTCAGTGGTTTCCTATGGTTTTTTTGGGTTTCTGGATTAACTTTAAGGTTTCACTGTCGCGGATTTTCAACACAAGGTTTGGTGGGCAGTTCTTTGTTCTTGCGAAAGTCCATTTAACCGACTCGGCATCAGTATGTTCTTCAAGATGAAATATCAACATGAGTCACGGCTACGACTATTGCTGTTGATCTCCCGGCGAGCCTGCAGTGCTGCACCCGAGAAGCGCGCGGCTGAGGTCCAGATCTGGGACGGCGCCCAGGGCTCAGAGTGAAGTGCAGTTTTCGATTTTCGGGCGTCAGCACACGGTGTTGCTCACCATTGCAAAGTGGAGAGAGCATGTAGCAATTTCCGTGGGGCTTTGCTTGGCCGAGGCACTGACTGATGCAGACATCGATCACATCGTGGCTCAGTTCTCCGAGGCTCCTCACCCTGGCAGAGGGCTCGAACTACGGCCAAATTGAGCAAGCATCGAAGTTCGATTCCAAGGGAGATCCTTGTATGAGGTCTAGGGCGTCTAGGGTCTAGCTACTGAGGACCGAGCGACAGTGTCTTTTGCCTGTGCAGGCGGCCCTATTGTTAAAACCAATCATGCTCAGCGGCAGTTTAAAGCTTCTGAAACGTATACTGTATAGACTTTGGCGACTCCTGGTGACCGTGAGGCTTCAGCATGGACAGAGCCTCAGGGCCTGTGGTGCAAGCACGACATCCTCTCCAACCGGACAGGCCCCGTCGAGTGGAGAAAGTAGAGATACTTGTCGTTACTTCTGCCGGTTCGTCGTTAAAATTGATAGCCCCGGCGATTGCAAGGCTATTGCGTAGCTCCAAGCTTGTGACCGTTGTCGTTGTTCTCCGATTGGCTTGTTTCTTCCATTGGAAAGTGGTTGGTGGTGGGGATAGTTTCAGATCTATTTCCAGGCACTCTTCAGATTCAAGCTGCGATGCCATAGACTCCATCGACCCCTGGGAAGGCGTGGCGAGCTTAGCTGCCTGCCGGGCCCTTTGCACCGAAGACCAGCGCTGCAAGTCGGTTCAGCCCGGTGCCCAGCAGCCCCTCACTCCGTCCTGATTCTTTGCTTTTGCGGCTTTCGAAGCCCGCCTCCCCAATGAAGACAACTAGCAGATACTATCTTACACCATACTACGTTAGACTAAGGACTAGACTAGACCAGACGATACTATATACGATGCTCTACGATACTATACGATACTGTCGTATCCTATAAGGCAGCTTGCCAAAAGGTATCGGTCCAACGGGACCTGCGCGCTGCGCAGCCAGGAGGCTTGCACCCGGGCCGAGGGCTGCGCGCGGGAGCCTGAGTCTGTACTTCCAGGTTTAGGGTTTAGGATTTTGGTGGTTTAGGGTTTAGGGTTTAATTAGGGATGGGTAGTTATAACTGGGGTTATAAGAGGAGAACTGTACTTATTACCCATTTCGGAGGACTTGTAGCCCTACTTCTAACTACAACAGAACCTTCAAGATGCCTGCTGCTTCCGGTAGGCCGCCGCGAGATTGGATTAAGTTGAGGCTGCCTAAATTTGGCTATATGCTTCATACTGAAAGCCGGAAGGTGTAAAGGGGTGTTGCACCGCGCAAGTCCCAGACGATAGAGTATGTTCGTCGCCTGTAATTCGATTCGGGCAGCGGCAGCTCGTCTGCTAATCTGCATTGTTTGGTGCAAACGTCTAAAGAACATAAAGAACATCACGATCGACCCGCGCCATGATTGACACTCCCACCGCCCCCTCCCCCCCCCCCTCCCACCCTCCACCCCTCACCCCCTGAAATTTAGACCCTTCCCCCGCTCTTCTCGCGGATCCGACGCCGAGGTGCGATGACTCCGACAGCCTTGCTTCGAATCACTGCCCCAGCGGCTCCTGTGCTCGGTTTTTGTGCATTGCAGCGAAAGTAAAACTCTCATACATTATACTATATTATATTATATGATATCATAAGATATCATATTATATTGAATTAAATTATATCATGTTATATTATACGATATTATATTATATTATATCATACTAAATGAAATTACATTATATTATGTTACATTATACTATATTATATTATATTATGTTATATTATGCTATATTCTATTATCATATATTATATTATGTTATATTCTACAACATTATATTAAATCAAATTAAGTTAAATTCAAACAAACTATATTATATTATATAATATTATACTATATTA